CAGTTCCTCACCCATTTACATAACATCCCTTGGCTACTCCAGAGCTCTGTTGAGAAGTTCACCAGATTTGGATCCCAAAATTGCCTGGCATATGCTGGGTCTATCTGGATCACAGAACCTACTTCTTGCCTCAACTTTCTTAGGACCCATGGTATCATGGAGATATGTGGAAAGATAAATCAGCTTGAGTGTCCTGGGAATGAGACGGGAACCTTACTAGAACTTTCTTTAAAACAAGCTGTGTTATCAGTTGTAATGGTTTGCTGGCTGCTAGTGATCACTCCTTCCTCTTCCAGATGTTTACAAATGAACTGTTTTATGAGTTTGCTCTGGTAACTTCTCATGTATTTAAGTCAGACTGATAAATTCCAGTGCTGTCCATTTTTATTCCCTTCATAAAGCTGGGCACTTAACTCTCCTCCAGTCCTTTGGGACCTCACCTGTAATCCCTATACATGGGGCAAAGGGACTTGCTGTTCAGAGTACAACTGTGGCTGCAGCAGAAGTAAAGCTCTACTGTATATGAATATTGCCATGTATTCTACATTAAAACATGAGAAAGTCCAGAAGCTTTTCCCTAAATCACAACCAGTCAAAGAAGTGCACAGAGAGGTTAAGAGTCATTCTTTGATGCACATCCTCAGCTTGTGTAGAGGGGTACTTAAGAATTTTGTACTCGTATATCATTACGGCAATGTAGTGAGCCCACATTCCTCTCAAGTCTTACTCCTTCTCCCATTCAATTATGAAATTTCCCCAACTTCAGTGACAAAGACAAGGGACACATATGAAATGCCCATTCAAAGAGTTGAGGACATTTCAAATAAACATGAATTATAAGGCAAACATAGGTTGCCCAGAATAAGGATTGCAAGATTTGGGCTAGGGCTTTACTGCAATAGATTAAACATGGGTCAACTGAACAAAAACCCTCCAATTTTACATAATAAATGAATTTCCCATTTTGTAGAGATTTGGAACCACCTTCCATAGATGCTGCCTCCTGCCAAAAAAGCTGCGTCTATTGAAAAATACTTTTTGGCATAACATTTTGGTTTATAGCAACATGAGGAGTTTTATAATCCATGTTGTAAATTAAGGACATGTCCACACTGAAATTATTGCAGTGACTGCAACTCATAAACCTATATGATGTAGCATAAAACCACACAATTAGCTTGGGCATTAAGTAAAATAGAGTCACACAAGGACAGAACTCAGCTTCTTGGGCAGGATTTGCAGTTCACAGTTAGCTTTTTGCTGCTGTGAGTAAACTGCTAGCTGTACCCATGTTAAGTAGTTTAAAGCTCCATTGGGTATGTCTACATGAGCTCCAAGAACTGCAATGCAGGTGCACTATGGAACATACTATTTCAAAAGGCTGCAATGCTAAAAGAGAGGATAAAAAATTGCATCCACTGTCATGAAAAGAGGAAATTAAAAGAAGAGAAAAATTTGATTCAGTGATAAAGCTAAACAGTGAATATCTTCCTTAAAAAAAGAAAAAAAATCATCCCAGTTTCACTTGGATGTCTGACTTCTTGGTTGGATAATATTGGCCCTTAGCTTTTGCATTTCTTGACTGTGACTTTTGCAAGGTATAAATGTTACATTAAACATATTGTATATTTAATTTTCTCTCTTGCTTAAAGGGAAATAAAACAAAAAATTACCTATACTTGATGTCAGATTATTTTACTTTCTACTCCAAGTAGAGATTTTACTTCTAAAAGGAAAAGGTAGCAGAAACTACTGACCTCTACTACTACTTCATTGTTACTGTTATTGAAACCATCACCAAATACCAAACAGGAAAGCAATATAAAGCCCTTAGGGCGCAGACAGACATAACAGTTGAACTGTTCCAAGAATGTTACCTATTGGAAACCAGTTCACAATTGTCCCTGGACAGAAGTGGCTGCATATATACTGCTAAGGGTTCTAAATAGAACCATCACTTCTTAGGAATTTCACTGTTGCCAAATTGCCATGAAGGGGTGGTAGACCATCCAGACCATTATGCCTTTCAGGAGGGAAGAGTGAAAGAGTTGCCACGGATTGGGAGAGTGATGTAGCTTGCTTTCCCCTCACCCCAAATGAACCTGGCACCACAGAGCACAAGGTGTCTAGCAAGGATGTGAAAGGGACAGTGTAGCTTTCAAGGCAGGGGCTGAAAAGCCCTGGGTATCTTGGGGCACTCCCAGAACATGCAGCACTCTGGGAAGCAAAAGTAAGGGGCCACACAGTTCCCCCAGCACGTGGCAGGGGTAGATCCAGAGGGGTGCAGTGGCACAGTCGCACCCCCCTTTCAGAGTCGGTCATGAGAGCAAGTCCCTAAAAGAAGGTAAGAATCTTTCCCCTCTCTTTTCCTCCATCCTCATCAGTACCTCCCCTTCCCTCCCATTCCCCACTCCATCTGCCACTGACCCCAGGTTTTACAAAGAAAGTTAAAAAAAAGGTTACAATTCTGAGCACTAAAAATAAGCTATTGGTAAGTATCTCTAAGTAAACAAGTTTATTTCTATTTGTTCCACAAGTTGAAGTCTGGTGCTTTAGATAACTATAAAATTTTGTTTGAGTCAAATTAGTAATGGATAAAAACCAGGAATATTAGATCATAGGCATCAGAGAGGACTGTTCCAATTTCTAAAAATCAAAGGAATGAGTCAAGATTTTTTTGTTCTAAATTTGATCATAAGACACTGAAAGTGTTCTGGTTTTATTCTCTTTTCTAAGAAATCTGATGTAGAAAGTAAAAGCCAAGGCTGAATACTAGGATTTCAGCCAAATAATCTGAGGGTCAGTTTAAAACAAAAGGGGAAATACACAGCCAGATGACTTGATCCTGAAATGCACAGGAAAATTTAACCTTATCCTTGATTTTCTGCACCAGCATTTAAAAAGATGTTTTCTAGGACAGGTATAAAGACTTTCATGTGAGAAAAGGATAAAACAGAACAGGAATCTTCTGCCTACACATAGTGACCTTTGTACCTGTTGTAAATAACTGTAGAGCTGTGTGTTAATACTGAAAAGATATTTGTCCATTAAATGTCTCATGTAAGCTCACTTTGCTTGGCAGCAGCCATGGAAGGGAACAACCAGCTTTTCCAAAACATTGTTCTATCCCCTGTGGTCAAGTATGGACAAAGTCTTCAAATTAATCTTGGCTCAGTATAGTAGTAGTTTCTGCCCAATTCTCTGCATGACTCTATTCTCAGAAGTTACTAAAACAAGCTTTTTCTAGCCCCAAATGAACCTGGGGCTCAGTAATACCCTCAGGATGGTCCCTATTGGTAAATTATACTGTTTACTTATATTAGTTCAGGACCACCATTTTCTCTAACACTGTTTTTCATAAAGAAGAGAGCATATACACTTATCTGCACCCTGTACAGGTCACAGTGGACCTCAGAGTACACTGACCCTGCTTCTTTGCATATTTCATTCATTTCTGCTTCTTTGTATATTTAATGTTAAATCAGGGAAATGTTGCCACAGCAGGAAGCTATCAATCTTATTGTAGTAATTAAGGAGATTATAATAACAAGCAAATATTTTAATAAATATGTAAATATTTGAATAACATTATATTTTGTTAAAAAGTAGTCTTACTGATATTCTGTCAAAGGGAGTGAGGAAATGACATGCTCAGTGAACAAAATCTGGGAGAAGGAAAGTGAAATTTTCAGCCCATCAATTTTTTTTTGAGAGACCAAAAAGGTATCTCCCTAAACAGAAGCAAGTTTCCTAGGCCTTCACACACAAAGGAATCTGAATGCTTTCTGATTATAAACTTTGATTCTCCAATGTAGCCGTATCCAGCCTTTGATTATTTAATTTTTAGTGTGCTTATTTTCATATTCTACTTTGTGTTTTAAAAACAGCAGTAAAAAGACTGATATTTTGAAATTTGGTTTATATTTTTCATCCAAGGATTTCATACTGCTATGCAAACACAGGTGAATATTATCTCTTTCTAACAGGAGAAAAAGAGGTTCAGAGAGGCTAAAGCTATTTTTTAAAAGTTCCTCTAAATGTCATCCAAAGGGTGATAGCTAGATTCCAACATTAAGAGATGTTGATTAAAGCTTCCACTGACTTCAGCTGTTGGTGTTTAACATCTCTGAAAATAACACCATGAGACACCTAAAACCTGAACTGCTCTAGTTTTGTGTATGTTAACATTTTTGCCTAGCTTCTCTGGAATAAGACAGCGACAAAGTAAAGACAGGAACTTACAGCTCCTAATTCCCAGTACTCTGCTTTACTCAAACTCTGTCTTCTCAGATAAAAAACTGTTTACTGAAACTAGATCTGCCTACCATATTGTGCTGCAACCATTCTGCTCTCCAAAGTGGCCCTTCACAATGAGGTTGTTATAAAGGTATCAGAAGTTTAAAAAGGGAATTTGAATTTTACTGGAAGAAGCAAGTCTGCAAGATAGCAAAACGGAAGAGTCCAGTGACTATTATGAGTTGATTTAAAAAAAGTGATTCTTCAAAAGGTAATTAAAAATTTTATTTTCAGTTACAAATAACAATTTATACTGTGACAAAAAATGCTCATCCCTTTCTGAATCCTCATGACACTGCACTCACAATAGGTACAGCAATCTTTCAGTTGCTTGCTTTATTTAATTTACCAGGAGAGATCATTTAAACTATGCAACTACCGTAAGAGCACTACTGTTAGGTGACCCAGTGTTTCTGTCCAGAAGAATCTGGAGCTAAGCACAAAATTCTGAACTCTGGTTTGAAAGTATGCATGACACTGTACATTGCAGGAAGCAGTGAAAGCCATTTCAGCACCGTACTTAAGCCTGACTGGGGGGAAGGGGACAGTGTAAAGAGAGTTCTGTTAGAATCACTAGCTTCTGTAAACTCCACTTGCCCATAAAACAAGTATACAATGGGAATGAATGATTGAGTTAAGTTCCTTTTGCATGTATTTTCAGACTATCAGTTTTGTAGACTTCTCCTGACAAATTATGAACTTACAAATGCTGAAGGCAGGAAAAGAACTCCAAGCTCATAGGAACGGATCATCAGCTGGGTGCCATTTTTCTCCAAAGCTCCCCAAGCAGCTTTAGAAAGATTGGCACTGCAAAGACAGAGACAGTAGTTTGATGAGCCATAATCTTCACAGAAATAAAGCACTGAAATATTATAGCTGCAACAGCAATGAACTTGTATGAGACATTAAAACTGTTCTTCAACCAGAACAGTTATTTCACATAAAGAATAATTACGGTTTTATGCTTCATTATTATTTCTAGAGTGCAGCAGGGGCTGTAGGGGTGCCACAAAGAATGGCACGTGTGCAATACTTATATGAAAATGGAGACAGGCAGTCCTTGGATTTACAACACAATTGGTTCCTGAAAACCGCACCTTAAGTCAAAAGGTTGTAACTCGAAACCAATTTTCCCATAGAAAACAATGTTATAAATGGGGGATTGGTTCCTGAACCAAGGCCTGATACCCTATTTTCGCCCAAAGCCCAGAATTTTGTACAGTTATCAATCAATTATATAAAATAAATAATTGTAGCTATATTACTTGTCTACATGCATTTATTTATGTATTTATAGTATAAATAGCAAACATTTATTTGGAAGGACTTCTTTGAGGTGACTTTGCTGGACTTCTTGAAGGGTTCTTTGCTGGAGTCTTCTCAGGAGACTTGGCTGCAGGTTTTTCTGGAGTCTTGTCTGCTTTCTTACAGAAACTGTCCAAGGAGATTCTTAAAGGAGCTGCCCCGCAAATGGCTCCCAGAGGAGCAGCACCCTGCTGCTCCAGCCATGTGTCTGGAAGGGCATGGGGGGGTGCTGTGTGCCCCCAGATCTGCCCCAGCCACAGCCCGCCCCATCCTGATCAGATCCAGGGTTACAAGTCCCTCTGCCCCCGGTCTCATGACAAGTGGTAGGAGTTGCCAGAAACCCGCAGCCACTCAGCTCTGCCTGCTTCTCCCCAGTGGGGACAGCTGGGGGAGCAGCTGGATGAGCCTTGGGAGAAGCCGTGGCCACCCGGCTGCCCCCACTGGGGTGAGGCAGGCAGAGCTGCGCAGCTGTGGCTTCTCCCAAGGCTTGTTTGGCTCTGCCTGCCTTGCCCCAGTGGGGGCAACTGGATGAGCAGCCAGAGAGCTGCAGCTTCTCCTGCAGCCACCCAGCTCCGCCTGCCTCTCCCTGGTGAAGGCAGCCGGTGGAGCAGCCTGATGATTCGTGGTTTCTCTCGCTGCCCATAGCCCCTAGTTGCAGAACCTGGTGCAGCCATGGCCTCTGTCCCAGCCACGTTTGCCCCAGCCTCTGTCCCAGCCCCAGCCCCTCCCTCACCACAGGGGCCCTGATCTGCTCCCCGACAGCCCTTCCCTTCCCCTTCCCCCTCCCCTTCCACTAAAAGGCCAGTCTCTGTCTCCGGCATCTAGCGTCATAAAGTTGAAACCCAGGTCGGAACTTCGAACCTCGCGTGTCCATTTACAAACGGAATTGCGGTTCGTCATAACTCGAACTGTCGTAAGTTGAGGACTGCTTGTAATGTATTATGCAACTGAACATCATTTCAGCACTGTACGTTTATTCAACATCATTTTGATACGGAACATGCTCCCAGGGTCATAATGTAAAAGTAATAAACCTCAGCCTTTGAATTATCACCTAGAAAGCTGATTAATAATTGTGATTGAGCAGCTCTCTTTTAACTTGTTTCTTAGCTATCATCATGCCCAGAGATAAAACACTCACTTACTAATTGGGACCACTCACATTTCTCAAGACATTTAGTATTGAACACTTACGTAAGCTTAAAGGCATATTGTTTTGCTGCTATTTTTTTCTTTGATAAATGCCCTGGAGAGTATACAAATTGATTTTTAAGCCAAATTTTTGTTATACATCCAGCACCATAACAGAGCTTGATCCCTGTCCATTATCAGTCAAATTAAACTGAATGTTTAAGAGAATGTGTCCACTTGTATTGAGTAAATTTGTTTCAGAAACAAAATACAAAGTATATAATTGAATTGTGACTGACAATTGTAGATTCATTCTAGTTAGAAGTGTGGGTGGAAATCAATAAAGATAGATCAGAGCCACCATGAATTTCTGAGTTGGCTTGATCAGCAGCTGGTTCACAAGGATTATACGTTTTCTGACAGCACAAGGGTTATGTTTGCTGACAGATACTCCTTCTCACTCATTTCTACTCTTACTTCTATAGTCAACTCTATCAAATAATTCTCAAAGATGACATTTAAAAGGCCATAATACAAAAGAATACATTTTGAACTCCAAGGATACAGGCACAAATATCATTAGAAGTGACATATGTGTGCAAATAATTTATTTTGTTTGTTCAGGAACTGAACTGAAGATTTGGGCAGGGAGGAGAGAAATATCTGATCCAAACAACAGAATCCCCTCCCCAGTTTTTCATATCAACAGTCCCACTCCTTGGGAGAAAAAAAAAAATAAAACCTCATTTCTGCTTCAGCTAAACCGCTAAGCTAGAGAGTGCCCCCTCCGCACCATAACTTTGGTACCCAGCATCTCAATACCATACAACTGTTGGTACTGTTCATATCAGTACTTAAGAGCACATACAATACGATTTTACTTTGGGTATGGGGTGAAATCACCCTTGCTGGATAACCAGAAGGTTATGGTTGGTATGCAGTTCAACAGCAGTGGTCTACATGCAAGAGACAGTACTCACCTCACAGGCAGTAGGAGGAAGCTCTTTTCTACAAAAAAAAAAATCACTGACTTGCTGAGGAGGGCTTTAAACTAGGCACATCTGGGAGAGAGGGAGGAGGTTCTGCTGTTATACATGAATCCACTGCTGAACATGAATCCTCTTCCCATAATGACTCGAGAGAGGGCATCAACATAGTGGATACCCAGGGGAGCACCAATGCCCTAACATACCACAAGGCGACAGAAAAACTGAGGTGGACCAGATGGGAATGCAGGTGCCTTTATGGAAACGCCAGAAGCATGGGCAACAAACAGGAGGAACTGGCTCTTTTCCTGGTAGACGAGGATTTTGACCTCACTGGGTTGACGGAGGCCTGGTGGCATGTGACATATGATTGGGCAGTGGATTTTGAGGGCTATAGGTTCTACAGGAAGGACTGAGTTGGGAAGAAGGAAGGAGGGGTGGCCCTCTACGTAAACAACGGTACCCCTTCCCTGCAAGTCAGGTTTGATAGAATTGAGAGATCCCTCAAGACCCTCTGGGTCAAGATACAAGGTGGTTCAGGAGAGGAAGAACTGATGGTTGGAGCTTACTAGAGACCTGCCTCCCAAGAAGAGAAAAACAATCAGGCATTCTCCAGGGAATTGACTGAGGCAGCCAGAACTAAAGACCTGATCGTCATGGGTGACTTCAATTTCCCTGACATCTGTTGGAAGGACCATTTAGCTAGCTCACAAGTCAGTTAATTACTTGCCAGCTGATGACCTGTCCTGTCACAGGTTATTGAAGGACCAACTAGAGGCAAAGCCACTCTGGACTTGGTGCTTACCAAAGGGGAGGACATGGTAGGGGACCTGAAGATTGGAGGTATTCTGGGTGACAGTGACCACAATCTGATTAGGTTCACCATCCACCGCAAGGCTGAGATCCCAATTAGTAGAACAGAAGTCCTAGATTCTAGAAGGACAGACTTTGACAAACTCAGGAGACTAGTTAGAAAGGCCCTCTATGACCAGTGATTAGACAATTTGGGAGCTCAGGAGCAATGGTTCCTCTTCAAGGGAGCAATTCTCACTGCTGAAAAAGAGGCTATTCCCACATGATCAAGGAGCAGAAAAGGAGCCAAGAGACCCACTTGGCCCAACAAGGACATTAGGGAACTTTTGAAAAAGAAAAAAGATGCATATAATCAATGGAAAAAAGGTTCAGAAACCTGAGAAGAGTTCACTTGGATAACCAGGGTCTGCAGGTATGAGATACAGAAAGCCAAGGCACACATGGAGATCAAGCTGGCATCCAAAATAAAGGACAACAAAAAGTCCTTCTACAGGTATACGGGGAGCAAGAAAAAAAAAATCAAACTCCACTGTAGGACCCCTACTGAATACAGAGGGACAGCCCACAGTTGACCCCCACAAAAAGGTTGAGCTCCTAAATAAATACTTCATATCAGTATTCCAGAAAGCTAATAGGAGTTGTGCAGCTGTCCAGAAGCCCAGAGAACACAAGGAAACATACAGACAACATGAAATCAGTCCCAAACTGGTAAGAGCCCTCTTAGAACAACTGGATGCTTTCAAGTCTGCTGGGCCAGATGACCTACATCCAAGAGTCCTGAAAAAACTGGCTGAACTCATAGCATGTCCCTTGGTGAAGATATCTGAAAAGTTGTGGAACATGGGGCGTGGTCCTGGATGACTAGAAGGCCAACGTGGTGCCCATCTTTAAGAAAGGGAGTGGGGATGACCCTGCAAACTACAGACTGGTCAGTTTGACTTCAGTCCTTGGAAAATCTTTTGAAAAAATTGTTAAAGAGGCCATCAATCACACACTTGTAACTGATAGGGTGTTAAGAAACAACTAGCATGGCTTTGTGGAGGGTAGATCATGCCTGACAAACTTGGTGTCCTTTTACGACCAGGTAACTAACCAGCTGGACAAGGGTCATGAGGTAGACATCATTTACTTAGATTTCAGTAAGGCCTTTGATTCTGTCTCCCATAAAATTCTCTCAATCAAACTGGAGGGTACTGGCCTGGGGCAGTCTACAGTGAGGTGGGTGGATAACTGGCTTAGAGGCCAGTCCCAGACAGTTGTAATTGATGGGATGGCCTCATCCTGGAGGACTGTCGCCAGTGGTGTCCCACAGGGATCAGTGTTTGGACCCGTGCTTTTTAACATATTAATGACTTGGATGAGGGGGTGGAATGCTCTAGGATTACGTTTGCAAGTGACACTAAGCTGTGGGGAAATGTGGGCAGAGGACAGGGCAAAGATCCAGGACAACCTTGACAGATTGGTTCTATGGGCTGATCAGATGAGGCTCAGCAAGGAAAAATGCCAGGTCCTTCATCTGGGTAAGAAGAACCTTCACCACAACTATATGACAGGCGGTAGCCCACTGCCTGG